TGGCTCTGAATGTATACGCGTGTATACATACATACACGTGCAGGCAGACAGACACGCGTGCACAGGCGCTCACACAATGCTTTCCCCGGCACCCCCTTCACACGCGGGCAGTGTGGTGCATTTCCTCCTGAAACAGGGAGTGGTTGTGTAGCTGTTCCCCAGGTGTCTCACATGAGCACGTTTGTCGTTTGTTCCCAGGTTGTATCAGAGTCTCAAGGCAGAAGCTACCAATTGCTTCCAGAAAATGGCAGGTAAGAACAAATACTAATGAAAACACTGTTCACTTCAGGCCTGGGCATGCTGGTGTAGGGCATCTCTGTAGTGTTCAGTTGGGATTCTAAGGTATTACTCTTTCAAATGACTGAAACGACTTTGGTAAATGATGCCTTTGAAAACTCCAGTCTCTCAGAACACTGTGTCTGAGTGTCCGCAGCTCCACTGAAATTAATCTTACTGCATCTGTGAGCTTGTGTCATCTCCAACCACCAAACTGCGTATTTGCTGAGAGTGAGCAGGAACAGCAAAGACGTAACTGCTCTTGATGTTCCAGAATAAGTTATGGAACGGGGGTTTAAATAGTTTATGCACGTATTCAATTTACGATAGCATCTGGCCACAAATTTTAAGCTATTCTTTCATGGATGCTCTGTACCCTGGAAAAATAATCACCCTTTATAATTTAGGTTAAAAATGAGGTATTGATTCTTCACACTTTCAGCTTTGTTTCTATTAATTATCTCTGTCACCTTAAACTCACCTGTGACCCTGGTGGTGCTCCGGGCCACACAGCTTCTGTGTCCCCTGGAGAAACTGAGCGCAGGAGATGCCTGAGTTCTTGTGTTGGCAGTTAGGAACCAAGAGCTGCATGTTTTGCAGATCCAGTCATTTTCAATAACCCCTGGAAATTTCCTTCTCTGCAGTGTTTATGTATAAACAACTGCTACCCCATAAAAGTATTTCACCTTTCCCTTGTGTTCAGTGATGAATGACTTTTTAGAGGATTATTAAAACTGAATGGCCCTTGTACAACAAAATTTTGGGCAAGTAAGATCTGATACACCTTGTTACCTCAGTTTAAGAAGCTCCATCCCAACATATCCATCTTGCCGCTCAGCTTACCTTAAATCCACTTTGTCAGCAGTTTGAGATACACTAGACAGCTCACTCTCACATCTGAGAAAAAAAATCATGCTGCTTTCTATTGAAGTCACTGGGATGATGCTGAAATGGGATAGTGGCATCTTAAACATCTACCCCAGTGTTGTCACTTGTGCAGCACTGAACTGGTAGATGCACATTGCAGCAGGGAGATGCTCTGAGCTCTCAGCACTTGTTTCCACAACAGTTTGAGGGAATCTAAGCTAGCACTGTTTTTTATCCCAGCCTGCCCCTCACACTTGCGCTGTAGCTTGTCTGACCCAGCTTAGGAAACTAAACCAGCAGACAGCTTTTTTTTTTTTTTTCTGTTGTTGGGTGAATTTTTTGCGGGTATAGTGTAATCAAATGAACACAAATGTTGTCTCAAGAGGAGAGACTGGGTTGTACTGATGTAGGGTGGTGTGGCCTGCTATAGAAACGAACCCACTGTCCCCTGAGTTCCACCTAGGAAAGCCCAGTGTAGCACAAAATGGCTGGGTGGGGGGCATTTACTGATTAGTTCTTCATGCGTTTCTCATAGCTACTGAGCAGGAGTCAAATGAGTTTTCTGTTTTCAGTAGTTCTGTGCCACTTGGAAAACAAGCTACAAAAAAATGAAGGACCAGGCCCCTGGCTCTGCAAACTGTTTACTGTCTGCCTCCTATACTCAAAGGTATCTTCTGGTTTTCTTTCTGCCTCCAGGGAGAAAAGTCCTGATAGTCTACGCACATCAAGAGCCCAAGTCCTTGAACGGATCTTTGAAGAGGGTTGCTGTGGAAGAACTGAGCAAGCAGGGCTGCAGTGTCATGGTGTCTGATTTATATGCAATGCAGTTCGAGCCAAGAGCAACAAGAAATGACATTGTTGGTGAGACTAGCCAAAATACCCTTTCTTCAACAATAACGACGAGAGAGATTTTCACCTTATCTATCCTGCTGCATTAACAATCCAGAACCATGCTGTTCAGTGCACTCTGAAAAATAGTTGCTATTATTTTGTACAAATATCCCTCAACTAACAAGACTCAACTTATTAGTTTCTATTAGCATTGACTAAGAAATGTCAGTGTAGGCACCCAACAAGTATAATCTTTATTTAAATAAATCTGATCACTATAAATGGCCCCTCAATCAGAAAAATGAAATATCTGTGTATTACAGATTTGTAAAACAGTGTTTTGCCTTTAAACTAAAGTGAATAAGGTAAGTAAAAGTAATTTTTTTTTTTTTTTTACAATATTTGCAATCAACTGCAGAGACGTTCTAAGAACCACCTTCTCTTAACAAACAAGATTACAAATGCTTTCTGCAAGCTGGCTCCAGGCACTTAAGTGCTTGGGCTTTTGATTTGTCTTGGCACCTCCTAACTACCTTGGTAGTGTATGATTACTAAAAATGACTAGGTGATGCAGTTAAGACTTGACAAAAACAGTGATGCTCTTGCTAGGCTTATGTGATATTTTCACTGTGCTCTTACTACCATTTAGCCCCAGTATTTTTCCAGGTTACGAAACACAAAGTCATAACATAATCTGTGGCAGCTGAAACTCATTCTTTAAAACAAAAACCAAAAAGAAATAGCATAGGTACAGTGCAAGCACTGACAAAAACAAGAAGAAACTTACTAATAACCAGACATAAGCATTTCTAAAAGTCCACTCCTGAATATGAGCCTTGGCTAATAGTAACATTACTGAGAGAGAAGAATGCATTAGCACATGTCCACAATCAGACTCTGAAGTCCACTTCTTGTGGGTGAGAAATGCCTTCAGATACCATTCTGTGACTTGCTAAATTTTAGTTCATGAGGCTACTGCCTCTCTCTTCTGCTGGGGATTGATGATCTACTAGTTGAATTGGCAGCTGTATATATCTGATTCAGACATACTTGGATCAGCTCACCCAGCTGTGGAGTAGAATCATCAGAGCTGGCCAGTACTGGTTCCCCAGCCCCTGCTGAGTTTCCCAGTGACAGAGGCAGAAAAGCAGCTACATAGTGCTTGTGACTGCATGGCAGTTTCAGTAATCCCTAATGCAGAGGCAGAGCAATCCACCTGTATCACTAGAATCTTGAGCCAAGCTTAGGTCCTCTTATTGCACTTCATATATTGCACTTTCTGTAGCAACATGCTACAGAAAGACAGAAGTTTTAGTACTCTGAGACACTATATTATTCCCCAGTTTAAAATCACATCACCATTAGCTGTGAATATCCACAAAAAAAAAAAAAAGGAAGTGGGAAAAAATGGAAAGCACTAACTGTTTAGAACTGTGGATTGCAACCTGTGTTTAATTCTTATCTAGCTATCATGCTAGAAACAGGGCAAGCAATGACTGTTCACTTGTACCCACAGGTTGCTTGCACAACTCAGAAGAGTTCAATTATGGTGTGGAGACACGGGAAGCTTACAAGAGAGGAGGTTTGTCTGATGATGTGATTGAAGAGCAAAAGAAGGTGCAGGAAGCAGACTTACTGATTTTTCAGGTCATTATTTAAAATTGTATTAAAATACTTCAATCATAGTGTACAGGGTTGAAGCAATATTAAGCAAGAAGATTATAAATTTCACTAGGAACACTGCATCTAGACAGAGTAAAAAGAGCTGGTAGCTCTGCCGTCAACACAAAACAGTTGTAGCAGTGTAGCAAATGCAAAGTGTCAGGTTTTTCTGATAGGATGTGGATTTTAGAAAATATAAAAAATACCAAATCATGTGTAAGCATTATTTGTGCTAGCACAGGATGAATTTTTCACACAAATAATGGCTTCACACTGGCGTTTTTGAGGAGCAGGAAGGCAACTGAAATTAGAACCTTAAAATACCTGAGTAAAATTCGCAGCAGGGCTTCACTTAAAAATTAATATCCAAAAGTAGTCTGGTTGCATGCTACCTGCACTCCAAAACTATTGCATAGAGCAACTGAGACCAGAAAGTATTGTGTGCAAAATAATACTATAATTCTCAGTATGAGAATCATGACATATTACCAGGCAGCCTGATACTATCCCTTTGTCTTGGAGCTCACACAAAGCAAACACGGATCAACACACAGAAATGTGTGTAAGGGCTTCAGATGGCCCAGCCAAGTTATAGGTTTGGGATACAGTAACAGACACCAGGGCAACAGCTTTACGAATAAACACTTTATCTCTAAGCAATAGTACAGTAATGAATACAGGTCAGTAGTACAATTATCTGTGTCATTACAACAGCAAGTCCAGTAATTCAGTAGCACAATTATCCAAGTTGAAACAACAGCAAATCCAGTAGTTCATCAACACGGGGCCAAACTTCCTATCTGGATGCACAAAGACATACATGACCACAGATGGCAGGCAGGCTGACAAGGCAGGGCAAGGCTTATGTTCTGTCTGGGAGCAGCCAGCAGGCTTGTGGAATTTGGACTTCCCTGACCAGTCTCCTCATTTATTACCAAGTTGCAGAAACACTATCTGGACTTGCTAACAGATTATTACACCCCATCTCTGTTCCCACTGTGCCAGCTCTGTCCTTGGTGTCTACAAGTCCCAGAAGTAATGTGTAAGGCAACAGTAGCCTCACATTTCTTTGTTTGCCTGTGTGACCGTTGGCCTTGGGCATAGCCATATATATTCCACTGTATGATTCTAGATGAAGTTTAGGATGTGACCATGTCTCAATTAAGCATTTACTGTAAATCTTCATAATTTTTACACTATTGCTTCTGAGATTAGTAAAACAACCACTGAAGGAAATGGTTGCTTTCTACTTTGTAGAATGCTATGAAGAGTTGAGTATGTTCTGGGGTAGGGAAAAAAAACCCCACAAAACCACAATCAATCAAACAAACAAAAAGAAAAAAAGCCTCTGAAAGACACCATAAAGTACTTTAAAATTTGCTACAGACTAAACTCACCAATTCTAGAAGTAGTGGTGATTGCCCAGTTTCCACATTGTTTACATCTTTAATTAAGCCACACATGGATAAGCTTTTACAGAATTTCTTCTTTTGTACTGCAGCGGGTACAAAGGTTTAGGGATAGCCATACATCCTAGAATAAGAGTCCATAAAAGCATTCAGGATAATACCAGATATGATAGCTTTAGGCTGTAGTCCCATAGGCTAACTAGAGGACCTAGAAACAGAGGGTCCTACTGTTAAAGTAGTAGTTTTCTTCTCAATACTGTGATTCAGGGTCATCATGTCAGCAGGGTGTGAAAGTGAGTCTTTCTTAAGATCCCATTTGTCAGCAGACTGTCAGATCAGAACTGATCACCGAATGTCAGTCCTGGTAATAAGGCTCTCTGTGTGCATTTTGGCCACATTCTCCATTTGATCATATGTTCCTTTTGCATTTCAGCAATAGGAGATGCAATTCTGTACAGTCTTAAATTTGAATTAAATGGCACCTTCCTGCTTCATCATATTCCAACTTTAATTTCTGTGGAAACCCTTGAATTCACCATGGTGTTAGTGTGCTATAGATGCTTGGGTATGAGAATACTACAAACAGGGAGCACTTTGGTTATTTTTGCCAGGCACAGTTATCGCCTCTCCTGAGACAGAGCTGGAATAAGGCATGTACAAGATCTGAACAGATTAAGAGAATAGGATTTGGTCTGTAGACCAGGCCCAAGGATGTACCAGAATCTCTGTGCTAACAAGGTAGTTTACTTTTTGCCTAGTTTCCCTTGTATTGGTTCAGCATGCCAGCAATCATGAAGGGCTGGATGGACAGAGTCTTGGTCCAAGGATTTGCTCACGAATTTCCAAACTGTTATGATTCCGGTTTGCTCAAGGTATGTCTTCGAGATTGTTTTATTAAGGTCAAGATTTGCACAATGCTCTTGATAGTATTGGTCTTTCTTTTCCATTATATTTGTTTAAAGCTCTCACTTTACACTCTCCTGAAATAATGCTTTGGTAACATGTTGGGTAACTGTCTGTCTTATTAAAACTGTCTGAAAGGTACTACAATATGCAGAGCACAGCAGTTCGTAAAGATTTAACCAATCTCTTAGAGATTTTTAGTTGGCCTGCAAAAGTGGCTTTATAATTTGGTAGGTGTATGAGAGTGCACTGGGATGGCATAGAGCTTGCAAATAGTTTAAATCAATCCATTCCTGAAACTATAATCTGTCTTTCTTCACACTACCATGGACTGCACAAATCTGTAATGAGTGACATACTAGAATAGGTGACAAGATCCTGTTCTGGGACTAGATGTCAAAGGTTGTAATTAAAATATAAAACTCAGTCAGAAACCTGAAATATCCAGTGCACGAGCCTCTGCCCCAACTATCTCGTTTCAACCTTTCCTTCTCTGTAGCTTATAAATTAGGCAAGATCAGTAATTTTGTCCCACTGTCTGATGGATCTTATTTGGTAACAACTTCAACATCCAGAAACAATCAGTATTAGTTTCACATTTATGTTGGCTGTGTACTAATCTCTGTAATTTCTGATCTTCTTAACAATTCCAAAATGTCAGAAATGGCTGCCTCACTGAGATGAATAGGAGTAATCCCCAGTTATCATAGCTGCATGCTGAGTGCAGGCTCAAGGCAATTCCAATACTGCACTGGAAAATGTTCTTTCAATTACGGAAGCTAAAACTTAGAGGATAGATGCTGAGTACAAGCCTGTGGCTAATACCATAGTTACAGAAGCAGAAGAAACACAGGGGTTTAGAACACCTGAGGAATAATTTGTTCTCAAAGTATTCCTTGGCAAGTGACAAGCAAGCCCAAGTTTGAAGGGGGACTGTAGCATTCATTTTCTGCATTCAGGAAGGACAGGAATAAAGATATTCTCAGTAGCAGAGGAGGGGTCAGCGCTGCTTTGTACAAGGGTGTCAGACTTGTAATTCCTTTTCTTTTTAACGTGTCTCTGCCCAGAGCCCTGAAACACAGTCCACTGTCTAGCGGTACGTCATCAGTCTTTGCCTCAGAGCTGTCACTACACATAAGGTCTGGGAAAGAAGATGACACCACCTCTTCTAGAAATTTATGCTGTCCACATTCTCATGAATATCTCTTGAACTATTCAGCCACTCTTCTTTAAATATGCCTAACTCAAATGCTGCTTTCTTAATTCTAGGACAAATTAGCCCTGTTTTCTTTCACCACTGGAGGAAGCAAAGAGATGTATGCAAAAGGAGGTATCAGTGGTGATATTCGCTATCTCCTGTGGCCCATGCAGGTATAATATATGAATATTTGGTTGTTGTTTGCCTAATTTTTATTATTCCAATTATTTTAACTGCTGTTTATTTCATATTAAATATAATACAATAAGAAAGAATTAAGTTGTCAGTTCCAAGCATCTGCAGGTTATAAACTGGGCCTTTAAAGGTCTGCAGAGTTTTAAAGTTGTTTTGTGCCCCTTCCTGCAGACTGGAGTCTGGAGAAAGCTTATACTGTCAGCCTTTTAAGTTTCTCTGGTATTACAGGATTTCACAGAATCACAGAATGTTAGAGATTGGAAGGGACCTCGAAAGATCATCTAGTCCAATCCCCCTGCCGGAGCAGGAACACCTAGATCAGATCACACAGGAACGCATCCAGGCAGCCTTTGAATGTCTCCAGAGAAGGAGACTCCACAACCTCTCTGGGCAGCCTGTTCCAGTGCTCTGTCACCCTCACTGTAAAGAAGTTTTTCCTCATACTCAAGCGGAACCTCCTATGTTCCAGCTTGAACCCATTGCCCCTTGTCCTATCACTGGATGTCACAGAGAAGAGCCTGGCTCCATCCTCCTGACACTCACCCTTTACATATTTATAAACATTGATTAGGTCACCCCTCAGTCTCCTCATTTCCTTTAGCCCTAGCGTGTAGGAGTTCTTTTCCCCATAGCTACCCGATTCATGTAGGATGCGGGGCAGGAGCGGAGTCACACATTATCCTGGCATTAATGATCAGCATACAAAAGTTAGCACATCTTTTCTTATTGCTGTCCTTTTATCAGAAGAGGCAAGGATGCTTTGAGAAATTTAGGTGGTAAGGCAAATTGATATAATACAACAGATGTGCTTAAACTCTTTGGTCTCCTACCCACTGCGATTACTAGCTGTCTGCCACTGTGAGGTATCCAGTTGCAGAGCTTGCAAAGAACGTGAAACACAGCTGTGAATTCAGAAATGAACAGAGGGAAAATGGCAAGTTGAGCTGATTTGAAAGGCACTAGCCTTTGTTCAGGATTGTTTGGCTAAGCCGGCAGCAAAAGATTAAAAAAATACTTAGAAGTAGATCAGAAATACACTGCAGTTCAGGAACAATCTGTGGAGATTCAAACAGTACAATGAACTTTAGGCTGTTTCTGATCCTTGCACATTTAATAGCATACAGCATCCAAAGAGAACAGTTCTGGGGGTTTGATAGCACTTAAAAATAACTTCAGAAGAGAAGAATAGCATCCAAAGAGAACAGTTCTGGGGGTTTAATAGCACTTAAAAATAAATTCAGAAGAGAAGAAAAAATTAAGTGGACCTTATTTTTCAGTGTATTTTATGTCATTCTGCTTAATGCCTATAATTAAGTGGACCTTATTTTTCAGTGTATTGTATGTCATTCTGCTTAACGCCTAGCCTTTACTAGCAACTGCCAGGATAGGTAATGAACTTTTGCAATTTATTTCCCTTCTCCCGATGAATGCACAGGTTTAGAAAACCTGCCTTATGTTGGCTGAGAGAAACAGTTTCAGATTTGAATCTTCCACATTCTTGAATTGAAAGACTATTTCCTAAGGCATTTATTTCTTTGCTTTGAGTCTAGCATGGAATCATGCACTTTTGTGGTGTCAAAGTCCTTGCGCCACACATCTGCTTCGCTCCAGAGTACGTCTCTGAGAAGGAGAGAAAAAAGATGCTCATTGCCTGGGCCCAGCGTCTGAAGACTCTTTGGAAGGAAGAACCCATAAACTGCTCTCCTGAGTGGTATTTCAAGTAATGTTCTGGTATAGGACTACAGAGAGAAGATTTTTTTTTTTTCTTCTCCATTCTTCTTGGTGCTTTACCTCAATATCTGAATGCTAATCTCCTAATTTGAATGTATTATAAGTATCTTGAGTACTACAGCTAGCAGCTTAACTGACAATATAGCATTTATCTTCATTGATTCCTGAGGGATTCTCTTCAATGATGGGTGCAAAACTATTTGTGAAGCATTTTCCTTGCTCATATGAACAGTGACATCCTGCCTAGAAATGATTGATAACACAAGCAGTATTTGATTGTAGATTATACTCATTGCTTTGCTCATATGAACAGTGACATCCTGCCTACAAATGATTGATAACACAAGCAGTATTTAATTGTAGATTATACTCATTGCCGCTTATGAAACAGTAAAGTACATTGCCAAGTTTATTTTAACACTTTTTGTACCTGCTGCCACTTTTTTTTGTTTGCCAGGGAATATGCTTCCCATACTCAACCTTGTTATGGCCAACCCTGTTGTTTTAAATGAGAGATCTACATCTGTGCCTTTGAGCTATGAATCCAGATTGTGAATGATGCAAAAGGATGTGCAGTTGCACAGTCACTTAGACAGCTGGAAAGCCTTCTGGACAGCCTTAGGCTTTTCCACATATTTACAAAACAATATTAAAGCTATGACAGATACCAGAAAAGGAAAAAAAGAAATACAAATATTGTATAACAGCATGTGCATGCATTGCCTTTCTTTATAGAATGTACCTCCTATTTGTAAAGCATGTAGTTTCCTAAAATCAGGGAGAGTTCTCTATTTTTGTTGCCCTAAGTAGAGACAAAAAGGAATACAATTTGTTCGCTGCCCCTTCACACCTGTCAATATTGTTGTGTGGGACTGGAGGGCTGGGTGCATCCCCTCTGGCATGAGTGTAGATGGGATTCCTTGGAGACCTCCAGCACTGGCAGTCGGTGAGGTACAACGTCTACCCAAAAACCTGCAGGAGCACTGTCTCTCTACAAGCCAGGATCTAGTAGGACAAAATTAGTGTCTAGCTCTTCACATCTGTGATTTTTACCTTTAACTTTAGCAGGAACAATTTTGTGCTTCAGAGCTGTTAACCCTTTTTGTGCACATGGCAAAGGGTGAGTTTCTCGCTTCGCTACACAATTTCTTGCTTTGATCAACTTACCTAACAGCTGGCTTTGCACTTAAGCTATTAAAAGAATGTGGCCCGAATAAGAAACGGTCTTCTGAGTGACTGTCAAATGACACTTAGGCCTCTGCATACAAAGCGTGCACCTGCCATACGTTCTTTATAGCAGCCTTGTCATGCTCCACCCTTATGTTTCTTTAAGGGCTACTCGGATAATAAACCTGATGAGCCCAGATTCTGGAGGGGCAGCGTAAGCTGATGCACCAGACTGGGAATTGCTACTGCAGGAAAAGAGTCACATGTTCCTGTTTGTCACCATGTGAAGTGAAGAACCACCTCTAGCAGAGACAGACCCCTGGAAGCAGTGCTGCCCTAAGCTTTTGCAGATGTCTGCTTCAGTGTGTATGAGTCAAAGTCTAGGTTACACAAGCAAGAAATTTGCTTTGGCGCAATAACTCTTATATAGGAAAAAGAAAGTGAAAGGGAATAAAATGGAAAGTGTTATCCAAATAAGTTGTGGGGAAAGCAGATTCTTGCCTAAAAGACTTAAGGAAAACAACTTCAAGTTACTTGAAGAGAGATTAAGGACAAATGCAAATATTAAAATTGTATAGGAGAGGAATTGTCCTTATGTTCACTGTGTTCAGTTACCAGACTATTAAAGAAAGAGGGAAATGGATATGAAAGTAGAAGTTGCAACTGTCAAAGCAAATGTTACTGTACAAGATCAATTGCAGAGCTTAGTGGGTTTAACTGTTAGATGAAGAATCTCAGACTGACTTATATGATGAAGATACACTTCTCAACACTGTTTGACAGATGCGTGCCAGCTCCCACACACGTGGTAGCATTAAGTGCCTCTATTAGACCGGATATTTGTAATGTAATGATACAAGAGTGGCTGTGAGTGGCCCTGACTTTTTTCTCCACAGTGGTTATAGGCCAGGAAGAGCAAGCACTTCCCCTGAATACTGTCCTGGGCTCCAACTATATTTAGTTTGGGGATTTCCTGAGCTATATATTTTTTCTCTATATTTACCAAGCCAAACAGATATCTGCTCTGAATTTTGTTCAGTCTGCTCTTGAATGCATGACAACTAGAAATAGCCAATATTTTTTGTCAAAGTTCAGTGGGTCAGCTTTTTCCTTACATGAAGCATTGGAGCTGGGAGGGATCCAAGGGAAGGTGAAAAACCTGGTTCTCACTAGCTTTTTTTGATTCCCTCCCAGTCACCAGTAAATGATCAGTCCCATCCATTCTTTTACATGGCACTTAGACTTTTGTAGGTGTGCATCAGCAAATAATCTTCTTCCCAGGCCATGGAGTCCTGTCCTGCCCATTTGTTCTTCCAAGAGAGGGCAGTGGCCTTTGGTCACCCTTGTTGCTCTTCTCTGAACTCCTCCAGTCTATCTCATTACTGAGAAGAGGGGACCAGAAGTGCACACAGAGTCACCTCTGTGACTTTTAGATTCATATGACTTTCTCTGCTTGTTTCCTAATAGTCTCTGATGTACAATTTGCTTTAGCTAATGTTTTTATCTGTTGTAACCCTAGATCTTGGCCATCAGCGGTAACAGTCAGCTCAGGGGCCATTATTTTATATATCAATGTAGGGTATTTTTTTTTCCTCATATGCACCCCCTTTACGCAACTTGAATTTCACTTCCTGTCTCATTGCCCAGTCACTCAACAATTTTTCCAGAACTCTTCACAATCTGCTTTCCTTGTCCCCCTTCCTCCAAGTAATCTGTATCATCAGCAAACTTTCTCAACCTCATTGCTCATATCCTTTTCCAGATCATTTTCAACAGCTCAGGTCCCTTCACTTGTAACCTCCCTCTGTTCTGAGAGATAACCATTTACTGTTGCCCTATTTGTCCTATCTTTTAAACACATCTCCATGACCTTCTTTCTTATCCCCTACTTGCTTAGTTTCCTAAAAAAAAAAAAATAATAATAATTGTATGAAACTTTGTCAAAAGCCTCTCAGAAATGTGAGTAGACTGTATCAGGCAGATCACCATTCTCCACATGCTTTAACTCCTCCTAAAGTAATTCTATCATTCCAATTTGAAAGCCACTGTACAAGGGAGTATATGATGGGGGGATCTAAGAACCACTATTCAACTGTAACTTTTCATAGTCAATATCAGTCCTCATCTGTTAGTCTATTCTCATACAGAAAATGTTCCACATACCTCATAATTGTTGTCACTCTCCTTTATTTCAAGTTTAGCTCTCCTGTATCTGTTTGGAGAAGAAGTGATCAGAGATGGGAGCTCTGTCTCAGCTGTGGACACAACAGATTAAAGCACATTTGCTGAAGGGTGCCACTCTTGGAATGCTTTGGAAGCCAGTCAACTGCGCAGTGACAGCCGGTGCTGAGCCAAGAGTTAATGTCCTTGTTGTGACATGCTGTCAGTGCCCACTAGACAGCACGCTCTACAGGGGTGCGTGCGTGTTCTGGCCCATGCCTCTCAAAAACTCAAGGGAGAATTCTACCCCATAGAAAACCATGGAGTAGAGAACAGTCTGTAGTTAATAAGGAGAGAGAAAGGAAGTGGCAGTGTTAGTTTTGTAGTAGTAATGGAAACGTTACAGCCATTTTGATCTAGAGAATTATTACCCTGCTAAATCACATTATACTAAAAGCCAAATGCAGGCTTGTCAAAACAACATTGACTTCATCAGAATAAAGCTAGGATTAGGTGAGTAACTTGGAACTGTGCTTCAGGCTGGGGAGAAAGGTATAAGGGCAAAACATGCTTTCCTCTTCCATTCAGTGTGAGATTTTGGTTTTTGTTCCTGATGTTCCTCCTCTCCCACACACATTTTCAGGCAACACCCTGGTCTTTTTCTCTGACAATTGTTTCCAAAAATTGTAACAGAGTTTCTTCTCTTTGATATTCTGAAATGCCAGATGAAACATGCTTGCAACTTCAGAAAAACACAGGCAAACAAATAGATTCCCATCTGAACTATGTTATCAAGAAGTCTCATAGCCTAGTGAAATGAAGACTGCTTTCTCGCAGTGAAGTGCTTTTAATGCAGGTTTCAAAGACTTAACATTTAAAGGCAGGTGTAGATGGTTCTTCCTTTGGTTTAGTATTCGATTCCTGGAAAAATGTCACCGAGGTTAGCTGCCTGCTTACAGAGGAATATACCTCACAATACACAAATTATCACAAGTTTGTGCTGAAGAGAGGAACAGCCAATAATAAATACCATGCATAAATAATGCACAATTTATTTTTTTTTTAAGAAAAATCCCACGTTAGTAGATATTCTGAAGCCTAAAGAACCTATGCTCCATGAAAGGAATGCAAAAAAACTTAAGCTTAGGGTGCTGTCAGTTTTAGTGCTGAATAATAGTCTCATTATTCTATGAGGATTAAAATACTGTATCCATACAAAAATTAATCTCAAAGTTCCACAATGTTTTCTTTTAAATTAGGTGAGTCACTACAAAGAATAACCAAGAGAGCTATTCCAGCCTTGGTTCCAAAACTCAAGTGAAAAAGTATAGAAGAATCTTTGACTACAAATGTTTGGGGAAGAAGAGGGCTTAGTCCAGAGCAACAGCCTCTCATTTCAGCAACCTCATTTTAGGTCCTTTAACATGGTGGCAATAGCTGATAATTTCAAACAAGTCAGGGAAATGTGTATTCCTGCAATAGCTTTGTTGCTTACATCTTACTCTGATGGTTTTCATATATTTATGGGAATATTCTCAACAGAACAAAATACCAAGGAAACACCTAATGAAGAATTTGTGTTACAGTGGTTGGTGCAGAGTGATGTTAAAAAAAAAAAAAATTATAAATACTGGGGAAGTTCTTAGTTCTTTGAACAGTAAACTTAAATGAAATAATGTTTCATGACAAGTTATTTCAATCTGTCCTAAGTTATGTTTAAAATCTGCCAAGCTCAGCAGTATTGATTTAATGTGGTTTGAATGTACAGGAATTCCGATTTATTTGGAAAACTCAGTAAGGAGACAGAAGACCAGTTTCTTCCCCAGGATTGTGCAGCCAAAATAGCCAATAGCTGCTTTTGAATTACCAGTTGCCCTTGAT